CGCCGCAACTGACATAGAGTGTTTAGTGCTAGACACCACATGCAGAGTGCAGGAGCGGCTGAGAGGCTGCATGCGCCCGGGGAGAACACAGAGCAGCGTATACACCCCAACGCGGTGTATAGGCAGCAGCGGGACCCCCCCCAGCTGCTTCTCAACCCAACCCTCCTCCCCCCCCTCCTGCTCCTCCCCCTGCTGCTGCTGCTGCTGCTGCTGCTGCTGCTGCTGCAGCCTGCAGGACAGCAGCCTGATGTCTGTGGGGAGAATATCTAGGCCATGCTCTGTTGATAGTTTATGTAAAATATAAAGAGGAGACAAAGGCTGCAGCAGCAGGGATTCGTCTGTCTCCTCTGTTGCTGCTGCTACGCGCAGCTGCAGCCGCCGCACCCAACCCAGTGCAGCACCCCCATCGTCTGCTGGTGCTTCTGCTGCTCCCATGCTGCTGCTGATAGAACCAGCAGCAGCACCAGCAGCAGCAGCAGCAGCAGCAGCAGCAGGAGGAGGAGGTCCTGTACTCTCCCCAGACCTTTCATCACGCCTCATCTGCTGCCGCTGCTGCTGCTGCAGCAGCTGCTGCTGCTGCTGCTGCTGCTGTAGTTGCTGCAAGACAGCATCTATATTTTGCCAGTTTGCTGCTGCTGCTGCTCCTGAGCGAGCCAGGTGGTGTCTGAAGAAGCCGCGGCGTACATACACCAGCTGCCCCGCTGTGCCTACACCCGAGACAGAGCGCAGCAGCACAACGAGAATATACGGCTGCGGCACGCGCGGGTACAGAACCCCGCGGTGTATGTGGGGTCTGAGGGGAGAGACAGCGAAGCCCCTGCAGCACCCAGTTGATAGAAAAAAAAACTTTTTCTCTGCTTCTCTTTCTGCTGCTGCTGCTGCTGCTCCTGCTGCTGCTGCTGTTCCTGCTGCTGCTGCTGCTGCTGCTGCTGCTGGTGTTGGTGAGGGGTAACAACCCCTATATACACCGCGAAAAGCAGATACAGACGGGGTGTGTGCGGTGTATGTACACCCGGAAACACGCGGGATCGCGCGCGCTACACTCGATCCCCACCCCACACTCGATCCCAACACAGACCCCACACGCGCTCCCAGCCCCGGCCCCAACACAGCCAGCCTGCCCCCCGGGGGAGGAGCCACAGGCAGCAGAGAAGAAACACAGCGCAGCGTACCCATCGCCTTGAGCAGCAGCAGCAGCAGCAACTCACACCACCATAAACCCCACTGCAGCAGCAGCAACAGCTGCTGCTGCAGCCGCAGCAGCAGCAGCAGCAGGGGGATACGTATCCCTACAGCAGCTTAAAATGTCCCTCAGTTGAGAGCTGCTGCTGCAGCAGCTGCAGCAAACCCTGGGGGCCCCACCACGCGCAGCAGCAGCACCGGGAG